GAGGAAACAGTGACAAAAAAAAGCTATTTGAAACAGATTTATCCAAGTGAGAGACTCTGGGTTACAAAGCACCAAGCACTGTCTGTTTCTGCACTTTGACAGCAGTCTTTTTCTTTTTACCTGTGAAATTGATACTATGAAATTAATTAACCAACTATCAGCAGCTTTTCAGAGGTACAGTGAACACAGCCTAGAAGAATAACAGAAAGTAAGATGAGAAAAAGAATTAGTAAGTAGAAGGGCCGAAAGGAAACATGAATAGCAAATGTTTTGGAAGTCTTCCCAATCCAGAAAGATTTGCTTCTAAATGCTTTAGTTAAATTTAGTACAGTTTTCTCCTGCAGGGAAGCAATATTGACATTAGCGTCGAAGGATGCTGGTATAATTTAGAAGCATTAATCATTGTATCTGGTATGTAAAATGTTGCTTGAGAGGAGGGGGAATTAATCTGTCCTCCTGCTGCAGTGTAGATTGGGTACGAATCCGTAGAAGAGGTTTAAGGCAGATGTTTGGAAAAAAGCTTTCTAATGCTGAGGATGGTGATGCACTAAGTCAGGTCACCTGTGAGGGTTGTGGAGCAGGCTAGATCAATGACTGACAAAGTTTTTGATTTGTAGACCATTCCTGCAGTTTTTCCCATGAAGACTTAGACTTTACGATCAAGTTTACTGACAACAGACGTGCTTTTTGAAGTTACTATACCCTAAGCGTCGCAGTCCCTGAACCACACTGGCACAGATTTTCTGTGACTCAGAACCTCCTTTGAAGTCATGGTAAGTGGGGGCAGAAGCTCCGTTTAATGCCTAAGGAAACGGGCATAACATCGCTGCAGCTGAGCTCTCCCTCTGACTTGTAGTGCAGTCATGTAAGTTTTGCTGAAGCAGAATTTGGCTTTAAATAACCTGCCTGTGTGAGAACTGATAAGGAACCTGGCTGTGCTTGTACTTTAACCCACAACACTTTGCCCCATGGAAGAGTTGTAGCAAAGGAGCTCTAGTTCCCATCTTTGGTAATAATAAATTGGAATTTTGCATAGAAATCTACGGTAGTCTCACTGGGATGGCAGAGGGTGAGCCTAGACGATAACCTATGGTTTGACCAGTACAAATCACAAATTACACAGGGACTGAAGTGGAGAACGGGGAGGAAAAAAGCTTACTGTGTGTGGCAGCCAGCTTTGCATTTGCTGAGAGCTTTCAGTCCTGAACAGAAACACATCAACATCATGATGCAAAAACACTAGGACGGTTGTTCCAGCCTGGGAGCCTTTTCGCAGTAGGAAGTATGGCCACGTTTCCTTCTGTCTGTCATTTGCCTTCATTCCCCTTGGGCTTTTATATTTTGTTACTGGCTTGGTATCTCTCATAGCCATCAGTCCAGCGCATCTTATTAAGCAGCTTTTCTTGATTGACTAATGAGATGCTATTTTTGGCAATGCTTTTATCACGATCTCTTTTATTGCTCAGCTACATTTTCTGCATTTCCACTTGTTATTCTTTAGTGGATCCTCTGTTGCTACTGTAGTTACTGTTATATGCCCATCACCTCACTGGGGTTTCTTTGGTCAGTTGTTACTCCTCTCTCCTGTCGTTGCCTTGCCCGCTTCTTCCCAGTTGTGTCCCCCTGCTTCATTTGAGTTTGTTCTACCATCTTACGGAGTCCTTTTCTCATCTTCCTCCATCTGGTACACCGCTCTCCTCCTATGCCTAAGACCCCCTTTCAAATAATCAAAAGTAAATAGAAGACAAAAGCATTTCCAGAGGGAGATTCATCCTACCTTCAGGTAGCTGTCTAAGCCAGGCAGGATGAATCACGTCCGTAGGTTCCTATCCCTGATCATTAACTGTAGAAGTCTAGCTAGGATAGACCAGGTGCCTAATGTACAGGGAGTTAAGTGTAAGCAAGATGAATACCATTCGTGTAAGCCACGAGGACTTAAAATGCTGACTCTTAAGACAGCATGTGCGACCGCACATTAAAATGACAGATAGAAGAGTAATTTATGAAGCTAAGTTATAGGATTTTGGCAGTTTTTTAACCCGCAACAATAAAGCTATGTAGAATTAACATGTTTTTGAATCACCTTTCTGTGTTCCAGTGATTAGTAGCATCAAATTCCAGATGCAAGCTAGCCTTTTAATCCAAATAATAGCTTTTTCCCCATCATACATAAATACAGGCTTAACATATCAGTGTGTTAACTGCAGTAATGCTATTCTCAGAAGATTAAAAGAAATATTCCTACTTTCATCTGCCTAGCATGTCCTGAGGCTGTCGGGTATTTCAGAATTAGCATAAATACCGGTCTAGATGTGCTCTTTCAGTTTGTACTTAAAGGGATTGCTGTATTCTTGACACCTGCTTATTTCATTCTCAAAAAATGTAACCTGCGAGAATGAAGAAAGTAACCCAAGGACAAAATAAAGAGCTCTGTAAACGGTTGCTTACTTCCTTCTGATGTGTGGTGGCTTTACTGACTTAACCCATAGACACCAAGATGGACCCAAGACTTTAAAAGTGATTGTGTCATTTCATGCTAGCTTCATGAGGTCAGTCAGATACTTTTCATAGACAAGATTTTCCTACACACTGTGTATGGCAAAGTATTAATGTAAATGAGTCTGCTTCTGCTAGCATAAATGCTGTGGCCGCTGTTGACCCAATTCAGAAGTCTCATGTGATCTGGCTCGTTTTGCAGAACAGCTGCCCAAACGCTTGCTGTGGGAAAAGGCGGAGTATGGGCTTACCATGCTTTTGCTACTCTCTTGTAGTTACAGCGTGCCTGCCCTTGTCTTGCAGCTTTTTATGTTTACCATGGGTGCGAGCAGTTGGCACAGGGTAGCTAAAGTGCTGTAAATCGGTACACTAGTAATTTGTTCAGGTATCCATGCCCTCCAGAAGGTATTAATGGCAGCACAAAGAAGTTAGTGGGCATCTGTGTCCTGCGGTTAATACTGGTGTGGCACAGCTGGATGCGTGTGGCTTGATCACACCCTTGGAAACCTATCAGAAACTTGCCTGCGTAGACAAGCCCAACAGGTTCATGCCCTGTGTCCATGTCTGATGCGTTTGGATGTTAATATAAATACACTGTTAGAGAAATCTGTGTAGTGGATGTATTGTTAAAACTGGAGCTAGAAGATTTTCATGAGAAGGTTTGACTGATTTCCATATCCAAATAGTTAATTGCTAACTCTGCATTTCTGAAATGGAGGAGGGGGAGAGACTGGGAAAATAACCTTACAGACAAATGCATTTAACCATAACCTGTAGAGAGATTAATGGCAATCTCTCACTGGCAATTAAATAGTCAGTGGTTTGGACAGAATCCTTATCACGAGAAATCCCTGTATTGTCAATTGTATCCATACCCCGCTCTTACACAGTATGGGCTGCTGCACTGAGTGAGATGGTCCGACTTGCTGCAACACTTATTAGGGTGGAAGTGAGAAAATTTTGCTAAAAAAATCTGAAGATACATAAAGAATTGGAGGGAGAGAAGGTGCATGCCTCTCTTCTGTGTGTACATACACACTCGTGGATTTTGAAATACACATTTTATGCCTTCCATATGTGAAAATTCTAAGAATCTGCTAATGTTTCTAGCTTAGAAATGTGAACCAGAGTGATATGACATCTTTGTTTTTTCTGGTGCATCTCCTGGGAGTCTAGATGATACGCATGATAAATCTTTCACCTTGGTAGAAAGAGAGGGAAGTGTTTAATATTTAACCAAGGTTGTCTTCAACATCTATCGATAGGGGACTGCAGTTACAAATATGTAAAACTGTGTTTGTTTTTGCTAAGAGGAGTGCTTGGAAGGAGCAAGGGATAACCTTTCCCTAAGGAATAGGCTTCAACTACAACAGAAGACAAGAGATTGTTTTAAAAGTCTATCAAATTAAGCCCACATTACGCTGAAATCATTCAGTACTTGCTTAAATAGGACCATATTTAAGCACAGTAGTTGAAACGGTGGCTTTTGAATCAGTGTGGTTAAATTGTGCGAGCTGCTGTGTCCGTGCACTCATCTTCTCAAGTTCTCACGCCAGACTGCCAGCGATTTTCCCACGGGGAGCAGCACATCAGGGTTCGTGTCAAGTTATCTCCTGCTTACTGAAGAAAATGGTCTGCGAGCCAGTGAGCTGAATTCAGTGACTCCCAGTCATGCATGCTTTTTGCTAAAGAAAGAGTAATTTTTCAGTATCTGTAGGTTCCTCTAGGTTAGATGAGGACCACGTTTCCAGAATTGCATTTAGTTACATTTACACCGTTGGGAAAAACTCCTGTTACTGATAGCAAACTAGCAGAAACATCCTGCCTGACCTGTTTTCTGTCCTTCTCGGAAACTTAGCAGAGCTTTTGGAGAGAAAATGTAGAAGTTAAAAAGGCTCAGCCCAAACTTCAATGTTTTCTTGTGAGCCTTTAAAAGATCTGAGCCGGATCTATTGTATAAATCTGGTGTGTTGCAGGTAGGGGAAGAGTTGTGTGTCACAATTTCCTGTACTCAGTGTATTTGTTGCCGGTCTCAAGCTAATTGTAATTGTCTTAATGAAGTGTGTAATTGTTAATCATTATTACAATATTCTCTCTTGCTGGGCTTGTACAATACTTCAGCCATCTATAGAAATAAGCTTACTGCAAGAATGCTGTAGGCTTGCAGATAAAAAAAGATCTCCTGCACCTTTGAAAACCCAAACAAACAAGTAAACAAATACTGTTTTTTCATGGCTTTCAACGTTTTTGTTGTAAAAATAATATGAACAGGATATTTTCAGTAGAATTGCGGAGCCTGTGGGCTAGAGAGCTGGAGATTTCACAGAAAATGAGTGGGCACATGCAGCTTTCAAATGCTTACTCTGTTGGGCTGAAATCTGTAAGCTAGAATTGCTTTTAAATACCTAGTCTTGATGATTATCGTGTAGGTTTTCCCCCAACACTTAGAAAAAAAAGCTGCTAGGAAAAGGTGCACGCAGTCACGCTGTGCCTGCCTCTTGCAGATGCGTACAACCCGCAAAGTATCGGTCTGGCCCGTGGGACTGGTGGGAGGACGGCGGTACGAGCGCCCAGTTGTGGAGAACGGCAAAGTCGTTGGCTGGTACACTGGCTGGAGAGCTGACAGGCCCTTTGCCATTGACATGGCAGGTACGTACCACGTTCCGTGATACATGAATGTTTCTCTTAATTTTTGTGAGTGGGACAGAAACCAATTTCTCGGTGTAGGCAGCTTTTCAAACTTGTGAAGTGCAGCCGCTGTATGTAGCCCTTCAGCACTAAATATCTGGAAGTCTTAGCTTGCACATCTCATCTAATGAAGTTGCTGCTTGGTGATGGCTGAACTTACTTTCACCTGTTTTTAATTTTATGCGGCAACTTGGCTTTTATGTTCTATAAATTGTTTCCCTGAGACGAGTTAATTGTAAATTATTTAATCCAATTAATTTTGGCACGGAAGGAGCCCCTGCCTTTCATTGTATCATCAGTCTACACCAGGCCATATAAATGCCGACCCTTCTTAGACCTCATGTTGTAAAATGCTGCTTTACCATGAAATCACTCATTTTTTATTGGTTATTTGGAATGATGGTGATAACTGTAGATGGGTATAGTTTGAAACACTGGGCTTAGGGGAAAAAATCACTGACAGCTATAGCATAGTAGATGAAGGCAGAAAAGCTTCAAAATTGATCTAATCAATCTTCTGCTGTGAAGTGAGCACGCCACATAGCTTTGTCTTGCTGTCAGTCCATGCTTAGACAATCTTTTGTGTATATTCACAACTGCCCTGTGCAGAAGTCTGATCTCTGATGTAGTGGCAGCTGGTTTCCCAGCAAATGATATGATATTTGCACTTAAGCATCTTCTGGAAGGAGCGGGAAAGGGAAAAGTAGAAATACAAGGGCAAGAATGGGGTAGAAATAGCCAGCCATTTTCTTTTTTCTGATACCCTTATGTTTTGGGAGAGGGAAAAGGACAATGCTTTCTCAACAGAATATTTTTATATGGATTGAAATGTTTGATGAAAAATATGTACAGTATTTACAATGCAATTGGTTAAAAAGAGTAAAGGAGAACTATTAGTTGCTTACACCTCAGAGAGAAACATCAACAGGTGATTCTTTCTGCACTGTAGAAGCATTTCAAGTTAATAGTATCACCTGGCATGAAAATAAATATTTGAGTGTCCAGGTAGGGGCATTCTTCAGGGGAGAAGTAGGTATGCGATTCCTCAAACCTGTGCAGCCTGTTGAGGATTGCAGCTGTGCATTTTAACAGTCTCTGCCTCTTATCTTTATAGATACATATTGATACTATGCTGTAGAAGTGGTTACTTATGGGCATTATAAAAATGATAGCATGGTTCATAATTCATTAGCAGCAGGCAAAAAGCCATTACACACCCCTGACCAAGGGACTCTAACCCAGACATGAAGAGATACATGGGAAGTTAGTAAGTTGTTGTTTACACATCGCAGTTGCTGGCTGAAACACTGGCAGGAGGGAAAAGCAGCTCCATTAGGAGCATTACCTCCTTGTACTTTTACCGAAGTCATGGAAGGGAGGGTTACAGAGACGAAGACAGAAGTGTTGACAGTACAGGAAGTTATTCCAGATCTGCAAACAAGGTGTTACTACTTTGTGAGAAAATTTTTATTAGACTTCAAACAATAACTGAAGAAGTTAAGTTACATTTTTAATTTCAGCAAGGAGAGAAAAGGATGCTGTGTAGGCTGGTAAAAAATTATGTGAAGCTTGCATCTTCGTTGCCCTCAGGAATACGGTGGAAGGGCACAGACAAACAGAACAGAACCTGTAAATCCAGAACTGCATAGGTGTCTGAACAGGTGCAGTCTACAGGATGCGTGTTAACACTCAGTGTCACCCTCTTTCCCCCCACCAAATCCCCAGCATACCCCTGGGGACGTGAAGGACCTGCTGACAGATTGCTGGCATTCCTCCTTCTGCAGGCACCAAATAGACAAGCAACTGAGATTATACTATATACTGCACATAAGGAGGATCAAGGATCTCTTTTGAATATACTACCATGAAAAAAAACAGGTGCATATATTCAACTGCTCAGCTGTCTATAGCTGTTTATAATCAATGTTCTGATTCCCAAGGCACTGGTAAGGAGGCTCTGTCTGGTTTATAGAACTATGTTTTCGTAGTGATTTTCACAAGAATTTGATCATGAGGCTGGGAATGACTGCTTAAAAGGTTTGGCACCACTGATTTAACTTGTGGCCATTCAGAAGAAGTGCATCCTTGCTTTTAAGCACATAACCTTCTTATTCTAGTCTTGAAAACCAGGGCCAAATTCAAATCTACTGCAGGTGGAGACAGGTCCTGCTGATTTCATTGGGATCAGCTCAAAGACCCTAGCTGGCCAACTTCCCTAGATTCTTTGAAATACATTCTCACACGGCAATTGCATTAGATCAGTTCAGTAAACATTGGTTATTTCTTTTGAGATGTTTGTGGTTGACACTGCTATTCTCCAATGCTACACTGCATTCAGAAAGCAGAGCAGCTGCTTTCTGTGGTGCTTCTTGTTTGGCAACCAACACACTGTATGAATTAGTTCTGGTGTTTTTCTAAATTCCTCCTCAGTTTTAACTGTAGGTGGGTTCTAGAGTTTGACACAGACTTCCTTACCCTCAGGGAAGAAAAGTGAGAGAGAACTGAATGTTGTAAGCAAAAAGTGACATTTATTCTGAAGTAGGCACTGTGTTATCTATAGACCTGATTTTAAATCTTCTGTATTAAATGATGCTGCTAGTGATTTACTTTTGGCTTGTTCCCAGTGCCAGAGTTTTCAACCACTCATAAGAACACGTTAGATCGTGATTCTTCTAATGTCAAGATTGTTCAAGGAACACAGATGCATGCTTTACATTAGCATTCCAGGAGCTACTTCAGTCACAGAGATGAATCCATGTCTGTGAATCACTGGGCAAGCACATTTCGGACTTGTGGTCCAGAGCTCATCCACTGTGCCCTACGTTCCTCTGCTAGGGCCTGTGAAACCACCTTTTCTTTTTTTTTTTTTTTCTTTATTTTGCTATAGCTATGAGATCTTTAGTGCATCTCATCTTTCTTACGGTTCCCTGAGAAAAAAGCTCTTCTATAAATGACACTGCAAAACATGGCATATTTTGTCTGAATCTGAAAGAGTGCTGGAAGTCACAAGTACAAACAAAAAAATTTTCAGTGAGTGGCTATGGCAGACACCACACTCAAAAAAAACCCCCCAAACCACCCCTCCATCAAAGGGTAACAACTGTTTTAAATGCTGAGTTTAAAATTGAGAGCCTCTTTCCTGGTGAATTAACTGTCAGCAGATGCCTTTCTTACAAACTACAGAAACTCCTGGTTGAGCACCTCTGCCCTGTTGCAGCCCAAACAGTGTGTCACAGGGAGGCGATAACTTGGAAGAAGCAGACCCCAAGCCATGGCATGCTGAACAAGCTAAAGGTCGTACCTCAAACTGTGTGGAAACCAGTATGCCCGTTTCAACACCAACACTGAGCATTAGCACTTACTCTGGGAATGATAAACTCCCTCGGTTCCTAGCTTGCCTTCAGCTGCTGTCCTATGCAGAGCATTCAGGAAGCAAAGGCATTAATCATGTCAACAAAGTCTTTAAAGACCGACTCAGTCTAATCGGATGAAGAGAAATGGTTCTGCCTTTTAACAGAAGCCATTGGTCTAGCACAAGTCAAGGCGTGAATTAACAGAAACAGCTTCTGTAGAAAGAAGCACCGATGTAATCTTTGCCGTGTGTCCCAGGTATCTTGTCCTTCAACAAATTAATTCTTACCTAGGTGGCTCTTCAGCCAATTAGATTTCATTTACAGCCTTGCACTAAACACAAAAAAAACCCAGAACACCTCTTCACACTCTGGCTATGAAATTGTCCCATGGCATTTCATGTGAGCTGAAGCCTAACAGGACCTTGTAGGAATAACAATCAAGTAAAAGAATTGTATGCATGTAGCACTGTTCCATTATACTGTGCTGGAGACGGTAATCCCAAATTAATCCGTGTTTCAGGACAGAATTCAAAATAACAGCGTCCTTTCATCCATCACCACAGGAACATTATCTACCGAGAGAAATAACTAGTGCCAGTCTGGTCAAAACCTGAGCCATCCTCTCTCTTTTTGATGCCGGTATGATCCATCCAATGATCACATCCAACCAATGGATGTCACCTATCTGGATTTTTGTAAAGCCTTTGACACGGTCCCCCACAACATCCTTCTCTCTGAATTGGAGAGCCATGGATTTGATGGGTGGACCATTCAGTGGATAAGGAATTGGTTGGATGGTCGCAGCCAAAGGGTAGTGGTCAACGACTCAATGTCCAGATGGAGACCAGTGACGAGTGGAGTCCCTCAGGGGTCCGTACTGGGACCGGTGCTGTTCAATATATTTATCAATGACATGGACAGCGACATCGAGTGTACCCTCAGCAAGTTTGCAGATGACACCAAGCTGAGTGGTACGGTCGAGACACCAGAAGGACGGGATGCCATCCAGAGGGACCTGGACAAGCTGGAAAGGTGGGCCTGTGTGAACCTCATGAGGTTCAACATGGCCAAGTGCAAGGTCCGTCACCTGGGCTGGGGTAATCCCCGCTATCAATACAGGCTGGGGGATGAAAGGATCGAGAGCAGCTCTGCTGAGAGGGACTTGGGGGTACTGATAGACGAAAGGCTGGACATGAGCCGGCAATGTGCGCTGGCAGCCCAGAGGGCCAACAGTGTCCTGGGCTGCATCAGGAGAAGCGTGGCCAGCAGGT